GAAGGTTGGACAGAACTGTGGATAGATAGCTCCTCTGCTGGCTGAGTGCTTCTTTCCCCACTGATTCTGAGAATCAATGGTTCAGATGCCTCACTTCCCCACCCACCTCCTCTGGAACCCCCAACACTCTCTCCTCAAGAGGTGCATTAGCTGGAAACTCTGAGTTGAAACAGAGCTAATAATTTCACCCACTGGCAGATCCACACACGAATGCCTGGAAAAGATTAAAGGGACAGACACTATAAGTTTGGCTTTCCTGGTCATGCATACAACCATCTATGTTTTGTGAATGAGCCTCCAAAATGGAGCCCTCGGTAAAGTGCAATAACTATATTTTTAAAAATGTGATAAGTTAAGGACAGAATATGAGATTTTATCACAGTTTTTAGTACAGTTCTGCTATTAATTAGTGCAAAATTATCCTTTCTTTTAGGAAGAATTACACTGAATGTGAATAGAATGTGAGGCAATCAGCTATGCCCAGGTGGAGCCCTGTGCCTGCATAGAACTGATTGCATGATCAGGGCCTAAATTATTCCCTATGGGCCAGATTCTGTAAGTACTCTGTGGGCAGAACTCCCACTTGAATTCACCAGCATTCCACATCCAGAGGTGATACAGAACCACACCCTATGTTTTTTAATGTTCTTTTTAAAGCACCACCAGCTCTTTCTGCCATTTTGATTTCCAAGACTAGGACATTTGCGCAGTAATAGTAAGACCTGAACATCAGTCAAAGCCAATAACAGCAAGATGGGAGCTCCTCTAGGAGGACTGGCATTTCTTCTGAGTTTTAGGTTTAAACAAAAGTATCATGTTGCTTCACTCAAACAATACAAAACATAAAGGGAAGAATGACAAAGTAGGCAGTTCTGTTACAAGTAGGCAGTTCTGAAAGACAGGACAGAAAGTCACGCATCTGTTCAGAGTTTAAGTGGCAGTGTGGTCTAGTGGTTTGAGCATGGGAATAGATGTCAGGAACTCCTAAAGTCTAATAGTGACTGCCACTGGCTTGTGATGTAGGGGTGGACAAATCATCTGGGGTGTGATGATCAAAAGAGTTCAGTTTTCATTGACTTCAATGGGAGCAGAGCTAAGGCAGTGCAGAGTGCTTTTGAAAATCTCATGCTTGTAGCTTCATTTTCAGAGGTCAGTGGCAATTGTGAGTGCTCAGGACGTCAACTGGAGTTGCTAGGGCTATTAAACTTTCCACCTCAATTTTCTCATCTCTAAAATGAGACTAATATTTGCTTCATCACATGGCTGTTTGGAGGATTAATGAGTTGAAATGGGGTTCTAGTCTGAAAAGTGACTATCAAGATGACATTGATGGGTTCTGGGTTTGTTGTCTCTTAGTTATTTCCATATCAAATGTGTACTGTTCACTATTAAAATGATGTTTTCTCTTACTATGAGCCCTGCAGATGGAACCTAGGAACCAGAAATCAAAGTGGTTTCTTTCCCTCTTGTTTACAGTCATCTGTAACAGAGGTTCTGGCAGCAAAATTCTTCCCTTAGTGATACCCGTGCAACCAGGTTGTCTTCCAGGTCTGCCTGTGGTGACAAGTGTGTAACACCATTGCTTTCACTCTGGTTGCATAGATGTAACTGATTGAAACCTAGAGCACAATTCTGTTGCTGATGCACTTGTACAGAAATAGAGCACAATTCCCTCTGGTTTAGCTGTCCGAGGCTAACAAGGAGCACACACTTCTTTAGTTACAATTTTGAATATAGGAGGAGAGCAGATCTGTTGAGTAAGAAGGTAATATTTTACCTAGTCATTTTTTAAAGGACATTTTGAATACCCTTTAGTGCTTTGAAAATGCAAAGGACTATCTACACATGTGCTAGGTATTACTAAATCCTACATTATCTAATTTCTTCTTTAATGATCTGCATGAAGGGGTAAACAGTGTTCTTATGAAAATAACAGATGAATTGGGTGAAACTGTAAACACCAGTAAAGACAGAGGGAGAATAATACCAAGAGACATAAAGAGATTCATCTAGGGAAAAGGTAAACTGTTACAGCTGTGGGGAAAGAATCCAAAATAGGCAATCAGGTGGAGAGAGACATAAAATGAAATCAAGAGACTGAAAAATTTAGAATGAGTAACAGCAACTAAATAAATGAAATCCTGACCAGAAAATGTATTGGACTCTAGGAAAGTCTCAGGAAAAGTGATGGGAGCCGTGGGTGGTCTTTATCATACGCGGTCCACGATGCCTTAATTCTACTCCCATTAAAATCAAGGGAAGTTTCACCAGTGATTTCAGTGGGAGCAGTTAGTTATTTTGAAAATCCTACCCGCGAGTCCTCGACCGTTTTTCTTCTTTGTGGGCTAGATGCTGGGCCAGCTAACCCCTTCCTGCACGCCCCCTTACTCCAATAGGCTGGTAAAGGGGTCAGCTGGCCCCTGGTGCCTCTCCAGCTGTTGTGCGGGACTCGCTCCGATTATACACCCTTTCTCCCCATGCTCTGCTCCTTCCTCCTCTTCGCCTTGCTTTGCCAGAGCCTTTCACCGCGGGGAGCCCTGACCTAGATCTAAAGACTCTGGGGTCTCTCCTCATAGGGGACTCTAGGTTACAAGGAGCCCAGGAGCCTGTGTTGGGGGCGGGGGAATAGGGGGCGGAGGCAAGGGATACCTGGCTGGGCCCAGTGGCAAGAGGCGAAGTGAGGACCGGAGGGAGGTCACAGGCTGAGCGAGCAGACAGCGGGGTGGGTGTTTTCGGGGGGAGAGGGCGGGGCACGCGTACCCCTGCTCCAGCCCCGCCGCCAGAGGCGCCGCGACATCGGGAAGCGCCTTGAACCGAAGCAAAGCTGCAGTAGGTCGCTGGTGGGGGGCGGAAGGACGCGGAGCCCCTGGCTTCGTCCAGGGGCTGCACCTGCCCGGGCCCGGGTCAGCTTCAACCGCCCCACGCTCGCAGCGGCCCCCGGCCCAGCGATCGCAGGCTCGCTCCACCCTTGGGCCGCGGGCCCGATCCTTCCGCAGCTGAAACCCAGGGGAGGAGGCTGGGGCTCGCGGTCAGCGGGGAGCCCGCAGCGGGGGCTGAGCCCCCAGGTTACGGAGCAGAGGCCCCGGGCGGGCTCACCCAGACCGTCCTGTCCTCCCGCTGCATTTCCTCAGCTCTGGCTCGTTGTATCCCGCTGCCCCGGCCGCTCACAGAGTGGCTCCAATAATTACGGCCCCCAGCTCTCTGCGACTCACTGCCCCTCGGGGGAGCAGCCCGCACGGGGAGCAGGCGGCCTGCAGGAACAGGACCCCCAGACTGCGTTCTCCCGACCCGTGCAAAGCTTCCCTGCCTCCAGCGCCTCTAGATCCGAGTTACACGGGCATCCCCTCTAGCCACCGAATCGATACCTGCTGCAGGGCCATATAACCTCTTCCCACGGTCTGCAGCGAATTTAGAGCGCCCTAGTCTACAGCTCTTTACAGTCACAGAGTCTGCAACTAGCCTAATTTACCCCCATATAATCTATCCCCACAGTGTCTATCTGAATTATAACCACACAGTCTATGTGAGAGATTCCGAGGCCAGAAGGGACCATTGTGATCGTCGAGCCTGATCTCCTGTATAACACTGGCCAGAGAATATTTTATATAAACACAAGTAATCTATGTCTATTTATAGCCACCTAATCTATATTTAATCTAATTTATATCCATATAGTCTATACCCATGTAGTATATATATATATATATATATATATATATATATATACACACACACACACTACAGGGAGATATATATCTATATATATGTCCATGTAGTGTATATGGAGAGAGAGGTTTCAGAGTATATATATATATATAATATTGTGTATATGTGTATCTGTATCAAGATAGGTTAGATGGAGCTATGGAATTAAAGTTTGCATTTATCAAACACACATATACATTTCAGCAAGCAACAGTAGACTAAACCCTCCTGGTTGGCTACATGAGTAAGTTCTGCCCCACAGAGGCAAAGAGGCTGGGGCCCGATCCATCGCTGAGTCAGTCAAAGGTATCTCAATGATTTCAGGGGGAATTGGATCCGGCCTCTGCGCAGCAAATCCGTTATTAATGAGTAAAAATGAACGAAATGAGACACGCTACGGTGGCAAAGGTAAAGTCAAAACGTTAAGTATAGAGTGAAACAGAGAAATCAAACCCAAGAGTACTTGTTCAAGGCTAGTTGCAGGGCCAGATCCTGCGGCTTTACTCACAGTATATATTAATGAGCGTGTCCTCCTGGGTCAATGCACTCGTTGAGGATGAGAAATTAGGGTGAAATCCATTATTTTGGGAGGTTTTTTTAAAATAATACTATACTATAGTACTCTGCCCAATTTTGCAACTTGACATGCAAGCCTTATTGCGTGCAAATAGCGTTATGAACACCATGCGCCAGTAGTTCAAATACACGTTTTGGCTTCTCTCTGTTGCCTGGCCTTTCTCTGAACTTTTCTTATAACTCTTTCCCTCACAGGAAAGCGCGCACACACACACGCTACTGCCATCACAAGGTTATTGCACTTCACTTCTCTGGAGCATACTCTCATCATTGTTAGTTAGAACGGTCAACCTGGTTTAAATTACCATCACTGCTGGTATTTGTCCAGTCAAATAGTTGTATATTTACAACTTCTTCTAATTACTATTTATTTGACGCAGATTTGTGTTGTTTTGCTTAATCTGTAGCCCGGAGTATAAAGAGGAAAAAAAGGAAAGGGATCAAGCGAGGACAGAAAAGAAACCCCCCCAGCTCTGGGAAGAAGACAATCTGTCATGTTTACATTCGCTCCCTCCAGTTGCGGGGCTGGGGTTTAGCTGATCTTTTGGAGGCCATAAAGGCAGAACATGGCCTCTGCTCCCCGCTAGCCCAAACCACGCTCTAGACCCAGCTACAGACAGGGGGAGGGAATCCTACCCAAGACCAAGGCTCTGGGGAGGGTTTCCTTGCTCCCCTGGCGCTTTCACAGTGGCCGCCCCAGGGCAGAGACCAGAACTTACTTAAGAGATTGGCTTCATGGGAGCCGTTGACTTTGCCATCCGGGTGGATCTGCAGATGGAAGCCAATGCCCACCCGGCAATAGAGGCTGCCCGTCCTGCGCCCGGATGGGCTCCACTGGAAGCTGCTTCTCTCCGGCCCGCTTCCTTTGGCTCCCAAGGAGGGGGAGGAAGAAGAGGAAGGTGATGAAGCGGAGGAGGCGCCGCCGGCACGGGCCGCCTGCCCGAGTTGCGCTCCGGGGGGCAGCGGCGCCAGGGCGCTGCTGAGGATCAGGCGGCTGAGGGAGAGGAGGCAGCAGAAGGACAGGCTCATTCTTCCAGCCGGGAGGGTGCCCAGCGCATCTTGCGAGCCAGGCTCCTGCTCCGTCTGCGGCGCGGCGCGGGCTAGCTGCGCTGGGAAGGCATCGCCCCCCTCGCTGCGGCGCGCTAGGGAGATCCGAGGCGAAGCGCTGGTGGCACAGAGATATTTATAACCCGGGTGATCTCACTGCTCGGTGCATGCCTGGAGCCGAAAGGAGGCTCTCTCCTCCGTCCGCCGCTTCCCGGCTGCGGGGCTGGGGGAGCCCCGCGAGGAAGAGGCGAAGGGCGGAGGGGAGGCAGCACCCATGGGCCCTGCGGGGGTGCGGATCGCACCAGAGGCCCGGCTGCGCCAGCGGCTCTTTACGCACCAGCGGGCTAATTCCTATCCAAGGGCAAAGGCTGCAAATAATTCATAACGGGGACGGCGAAATGGGCTCCCCGGAGAGGCGCCGGCGGATTGGGTCGCTTCCATAGGGCTGGGGGGCGGAGGCGGGGGGAGATTCATTCCCCTCCTCCCCTTTAAAGATGCCGGCTGGGATTTTAAGCACCGGCCCCAAATGATTCCTAGAGGCCCGCGGCGGAGTGGGGGGATCCCGGGGGGCTTTGCCGATCCTCGGACGGGCTGTGCATTAGGGACCCAAGGGAGAGCTTCCACTCCGGCGCGCAATGCTCTGCCAAGCTGCCTGGGGCGGGGTAGGGGTGGGCGAATGGGAGGGGGGGCTGAATGGGAGTGTGGAGGGGCTAACTTCGGAATTGGGGGTGGCTTGCAAAACGCAAGGGGCACTTAGATACGCCAACGGTGCGCCTCCCGAGGGACCGTGCTCCTCGCTTACCTTCCGTGTGACAGACCCGGGCAAGTGGTTATTCAGCGCGTACCCATCCGGAGGGGCAGGCGTCCATGCATCCCCCATCGGCGGGCCTGGCGCACAGCACCGCTCCGGTGCGTGCCCTGGTTCCGCGGCCCCTTTGCAGCAGGCGCGTGGGAGCTGTCTCCCCCTGCGGCTCTGCCGTGCCGGGGACCACACTGCCGTGATTAATGGCACTGGGTTCAACCTTAAGAAACCTGAGAATAGCGCGGTTCTCTGTACGCAACGCCCGCCTGTCATTTACCGGAGAAATATACCTTCCTGGCATGCTGGGAATGGCTCTGCCTGGAAACATGCTGAAAGTCTGAGGCCGTACTTCTGAGCCATTATGCCTCTGGCATGCTCGTGAAAAGGGCATGCTCTTGCCCGGGAACGCCAAGGCACATAAGCCGTGGAGGGTCCTCAGACACGGCCTTATGCATTATTGAGCACGGCTTTAAAGCTTCCTATTTCAGTAAAGAAAAGCATATAAAGGACATACCGATGTTCTAGATCTGAAATGCTCCTCTTGGCAGAGTGCTTGACGTAAACCAAGTTAAAAAAAGACATCACTGTACTTGCAAAGCGCCAAAGCTGCTATCGGAAAGCGGGTGTGTGTGTGTGTGTGTGTTGATAGAGAAAAAGAGAAACGCAGTCCTGCACTCACGGCTACCAGTGGGTATTTATTTCAGTGTGAAATAATGCAGGATCCCAACCTTCGTGAGAGTCTGGTGTGAGGCACGTCGCGTGGTATAGGAGTTCAGGCATAAATTATTCCATATGAATTATATATATATATATATATATAATACACACACACATATATATATATAGTAATATGTCCAGATGCATGAGGTGTGTATAGGTGTGTGTGTGTATACCGACATCCACAAATTATTTCATATGAAGTATAGATAGATTAAAACAAAATATACATAGTATATATGCATGTATGTATGGCGTATGTATATAAAATATATACAGATATGTATGTATAATGTGTGTATATGTACAAACACGATACATATGCCTACATACATAACACACACACCCCTCTATAAAATTACCGCCCGAGTAAAAGTCTGCGTTTTTCCACTGCAGTCTGTTTCAGATTTTGTGTCCTTCTGAACAACAGGTATGGTCTGAATATTACGGCTTCAAGCGGCTCAGAGACGCTCCTGCAAATAAAATAAACACGAAGCTCCTTGCAATGCAAGTATGCCCCCGGGAGGAGTGTTCTCGTGTCTGTTGTTTATGCAGCTTTTGAAAGGGATTTTTGTGCAGTCGATTCAGGAAAGTGTAACCACCGCCGCCCCTCACCCCCCGCCAAGGGTTGCTTCAGGTGTGTTTATTAATTGGCATCGAGGGCCATCGCCTGGGGAAGGGCCGGGACCAGCGTTCTGTAAGGCAGAGTCTTTGAGTTTCTTCTAGTCCTACCTCCCTGATTCTAAGTCAGCTAATGTAGTTGATACAACTGAATTAGTCCCAGAGGGCCCGATCCGAAATCTTGACCCAGGCCAGTCTCCCATCGACTGCAGCGGGAGTTTTGCCTGAGTAAGGACTGCAAGATCAAGTCCTCCGTATCTTGCTGCCCGTTCTGCAAGCCCTGGCCAACTACCCGATTGAGGACTGCGAGATGGGGCCCATTGACCAAAGTTAGCGTTGTCTGTCTTGGGAGCTCCTACTTACAGACACACCGGGAGTCACAAGCCAGGAGACGGTAGCTTGGATTAGTTCCACAACCCCTCCCAGCCCCCAAATCCCATATAGGGCCTGATCTAGGAGCCAATGAGATCTTTACCTTCGGTTTTAATGGGGCCCAGAGTGCCACCCTCCAAAGAGATACCACTTAGCAGCGACACAATAGAAACGCCAAAGTTTTGCAAAGTCTTATTTCCCCTTGGGAAGAGCAAAGGGAAACCCAAACACTTTCATTCCCACAGTTCACATGCCACACACGTCAATGCAAACTAAATTCATTCCCTGCGTGGTCTGCTCTTAAAAAAAGTAAACAAGCTGGATGTGCATACGGTGCAGTGGTAAATTAATCAGACCCATTTCTGAATGGACACTTTTGAATCCCATTTTGCAACAATAAATCTGGTCCAAAGAACAGAAGTTCCTTTTGAAAAGTCAGATCAGGCATAGAGCGCTGGAAGGTGATTTTCCAGCGCCGTGCTACTTTTTGATAACACAACTTTTGTGCTTGTAAGTGGTGGCAAAATTACTGTTAAACCTCCAAACAACAGCAGCCTAAAATAAATGAAATACATACAAAAGAAGTCTGTAAATGGCCTATTCTTCACCCACAAAATGTCATTACGTGCATATATATACTCCTTATACTACACTTTCCATGTATCAATACAATGACACAGACAATCATCAATTTTCCTGTTAAAATAGAAGCTCTGACATTTTTAAAGCTCACATCTTATATCTCAAATTCCTGTAGAGAGATCAGAGTTAAAAATGTCCATTTCTGCATCATCACGGCTTGAGAAGTTCAGAATTAGAGTTAGTTACAATGTATCTTTAAGAAGAAAGCATTTGTACATTTCCTAGTCACACTTTCCAATTTTACTTTGATTTAAACATTTTAATTGCTTTGAAATGAAGACTAGGAATGCAATTCAATTCTTCCAGAGATTATTCTATAGATCCCCCGAAAGGTAATAATGTTGATCTCAAATCGGAACTGTGTTAAACAAGTGTCTACAAATTGCAACTTCATTGGAATATAAAAGTAGCCTTGGAAATGCATTCCTGAAAAGAGGAAAGGATTAACCCACAGGGGCAGTTTTCTCAAGACCCCAACCTGAAAAATTTAAAATGTAAAAGACTATTAGCAGCTGCAAAACAAGCCCCTTACAGTTACCCGCTATTGGATCAATGAACTGCCATTATCCTCATCCGGAATGTTTTCCAGCCTATGTTTAACCCTGTTCTGTTGGCCCATCTCTAGCATTGAGAACAGAAGTCACAATGAAATCATCCGTGGGAGGTGATCCACACCAACCAGTTACCTTCTGCTTCTCACTGGGATAAACCAGACCTCGTTCGCCCCCATCTCGGCTCCAGCTGGTGAAGGATGCCCCGATCCAACCCCCCAGAAATACCGCTGACCCCCCAAATAGGCGATTCACAAGCACGCTACGCGTTTCCGAATTCGCGTGGCTGTGTGTGTCTCGGCCCGGCCGGAGCTGGGAGGTCTTTTTAATCCGGGTCCGCCTCTAACGGGAACCGGAGAAAGAAGCAGCTGGGGGCGGCCGGTCGAGCCCGATGCCTGGGATCCACCACCCTGGCAGCAGCATGAGGGCACCCACCCAGGGGGAGGGGGAATTCAGACACAAAGAGAGGGGGAGCGAATGCATTGGAGGGAGAGCTAAGTCCAGGCTAGAGACACCCTACTGATTCCTGGGGGGATACAGGCACACGGCTTCCCCGTGGCCCCCCACCAGCCAGCCAGCCACCCCGGCCGGTGCCTTGCACCTTGGTGGGGGGGGGGGTATTTCAGGGAGCAGAGGGAATAATTAGGGCTGGGCCCGTAGGAGACATCACGCATTCGGTGCCCACGCACACCCAGCCAGAGAGCTGTCGCTAAAGCAGGGGAGTAGCAACACCCCCACCCCGCAGTGTACCAGGAAAGAGCTTGCTGTACATTCACCAGAATACACGTCCAGCCCCTTTTAAAGTAGCCACGGGGCCAGATTCTCCCCTGGTGTAAATTAGCAGAGTTCCACTAGCTTCAATGGCCCATCTCCGCCGGCTGAGGATTTGGATCAACATCTCTAAGTAATCGTTACTAGATTACTGATTACTGATCTTTAGGAATCAGTATCAGTATCCCAGTAGTAAATGACCATCTAGATTCTTTGGGAGAGGGCCAGGGGGTTATTTTCTATTGGGGGGGGGGGGATCTGGAATGATGTATTTTACAAGGTGCTCTTGGGTCCATTAAAATAACTGGTGGCTGACAAATATTGATAATGTCTGGATTCACACCCCAGACATGTACCCATTTGTTAGAACACGTCTCCGAATTTTTCACTCTGTTTCCTTTTCCCAGATCCGCGTTTGTTATCTCTGGAGAAGGCAGTTTGACGCGGCATGTAATGAAACAAGAATATTTTCCTTGCCCTCCAGCTAACTTCAAACCCGTCACTTTTAATCCCAGGTAAGCTCATTAGTGAAATCCTCGCTCCAAAATCAATGGGAAGTTTGCCATCGACTTGACTGGGACCAGGATGTCACTCATTATATATACCTCCCACTGAAGTCAACTGATTGACTCCTATAGACTTCAGTGGGAACTGGATCGGGGCCACAACGGTCTCTAGGGTGACTTAAGCCAGAGGTGGTTTGGTCCCAGCGATCCGGCTCCCTTTAAAGCCAAGGGGCGCAAGATCGAGCCGCCCCTCCCGCACCCCCCATTCCAGTTCATTGTTACGGACACGCTGGTTTTATAAACCGTTGGCCTGACAATTAGCTTTGCTAGGACCATGGAAAAGTCTTGTTGACAGTGTGATTTCTGACGCCACACACAGAAAGCTGGGAACACGCCGACACTGAGTCCTGATCATTTTTA